AAATAAAAAGAAAAAAATCTCTATTATGTCCCCTCAAAACAAGAAACGGTGTGTGGGAGGGGGGGGAAAAAAACAATCTCCTCCACACCCGACAGGAACAATGTAAAAAAAGTGGCGAAAAGCACACGAGGATTGAGTGAAGCCCGAGGCGGGGCCAACAAAAAAGTCGGAGGCGGAGAGGGAAGCAGCAGCAGCAGCAGTAGCCACCGCGGCGATGGCGGCGCCCCTCCGAAGTGGCCCAAAGGCGAGCACGGGCAGAGGAAGGCACGGCGGCGTTGAGACAAATGATGCAGACGCACAGAGAGATAAAAAGAAAAATAGTAAATATAAACAACGCATCCCCGGGTAGGGCGCAACAAAGCAGACACACACAAAAAACAACAACAGCCAATCAATCAAAAACAAGCAGCGCATGCAGGCACAGACAAGCACGCTACATAACTCACCACAGAACACCGCATACATAGATGCGCACAGACGCAAATTTCAGATGACAACAACCCCTCCACATGTATTCCTGGGCCTAGTCCCCCTTATCATTATCCGTCTTTCACAACACTCATCATCTATTTTTGTCGTTGCTCTTTTCCATCGTCAATGCCGGTACATTTTCCTCGATTCGCCATTTCATTCCTTCGTTTTTGTTTTTGTTTTTGTTTTTGTTTTTGTTTTGTTCTTGTTCGGTTTTCTCTGTTTGTTAAAGATGACTCGAATTCACTCTATTGGACTTCAGCTGCCTTCTTCTTGAGTCTCTTTTTTTTTCTTTTTCTTCCCTCGTTTTTTTTTCTCTTCCTTTTCTTGCTTGTACATATATTTTTTTTGCTTCCGAGTTAACGTAGGGGCCATCACCGCTTATTTGTGTCTTTCCCCTCCCCCCTTTTTTTTGCAGGTTTGGAGGCGCCGCATCTGCAGAGTGTGTGGCGCCTCCAAACCTGCAAAAAGCTCCACAGGGGCGAGAAGCAAACAGACGGAGGCAGGAGACGGACAGTACACAGAAAAGGCGTGCGCGCGGACGCAGGTGGGGCGGCAAAAAATGCAGTACGTCCTTTTCCTCCTCCTCTCAGCGGCTGGGCGCGTCAAAAGCCACGCCTGTTCAGCTTCGTAATTTCTTTTTTCTTTTCGTGTTGTTGTTGTTGGTGTTTTTTTTATGATCTCTCCTCGCCTCCCATTTATCATTAGTTTTTTTTTTCTTCTTTGTTTTCCTGCTTTCTTTTTTTCCGTGGTTGCAGTTTGTTGCCGCCTTCACCAGCCCCCTCCCCCTCCTCCCCCAGACACACACACACACAAGCACCGTTCCCTCACATATGCATCCCTCCAGTTTCGATGCGGCCCTGCAAACGGTGCGGGCGCCCGTCGCGCGCCGCTACCCACCATTGGCGGGCCCGTGGTTCCGCGGGCCGTGGAAGTCGACGTGCGGCTCGTGGCACTGGGAGCGAAAGCGGCACTTTCCCTTCAAATGTGAGAGGCAAGCGTCGTACGGGTACAGCGCGTAGGCGCAGGAGTCCTTATAGTTGCAAAAGCCATAAACACGCACGCATGGATGCAAGCGTTCGCCGCTTGCTCCGGCGCCACCGCCCTTATTGCTCACCTCGCCCTTGTGACTGTTTTGAGTGTTACCCGCCGTTCGGCCAGTCGCGGTTGCGCTGCTGCCGTGGTCCGTGTGGCTGCTGCTGCTGGCGTCCGGTCGCATTTCCACTGGTTTGCTCTCCATCAGCTGTTCAAGGAAACGCTTGAAGGAGCGATTTGGGAAGAGCATCATGGTCAGCTCCGTATGGGTCTGCTGCGACATCGGGATGTTCTTCTGGGCCTGGCACTCGTTGAAGTAATTCGTTATCACATCCCGCTCATACGTGAAGCCGTCAGAGGCCACTACAGGATCCGTCACCGCGGCATACCGCTGGACAATACGCTGGACGTCCTGCATGCGCCCCTCTGCCGCATCCAGGGATCGAAGTATGTAGTCTTTCTCTTCTACCACGGCGTCATAGTGTTGTTGCATTGAGTCAACGACGCCGGCAAGCGCGTTGATCTGCTGAATAACCTTGGTCACTTGTTGCTCGTAACCCTGAAGGCTATTTTGTAGTTCGCCGATGGAGTCGTATGCCGCGCGGTAAGCGACCGGTGGGCTCATCAGCCGCGCATCTGACTGCTGCACGCCCTCGGCATCGCCGCTGGCCGGCACCCACCCGCCCCTTGCACCGCTCATTATTCCTGGATTTTCTCTTCCTTAGCTCCCGCGCGCGTGCGTGTCTCGCTTCGCCGTCTTTTTTCTCTTGTGTTTGTTGTCTCTTCGTTTATATCTTTCCCTCCGCCGCCCCCTTCAAGGTTCCCCGTTTTAATCTTTCTGTTTTTTTGTTGTTGTTTTTTTCGTGTTTTCTCTTCTTTTGGCTCTCTTTCCACTCGTGACCGCAAAGTGGCGCTGCGAGGCGACGGCCAGACACGCACAGCAACAAAAGGGAGAGAAAAAAAAGCGAGCGAGCGAGCGAGCGAGAGAGAGAGCGGCAGTTGGTGCAGGCGCGGCGGCTTGCACTCGCTGGGCGAGTGCAGGGAACCGGGAACAGGCAACGGGCACCCAAACATGGCGGGGCACGCCCGACGCACCCACGCAGGCAACAAGAATTTTAAAGAGATAAAAAAAAAAGGGAAAAGAAGCAAACAAGCCGAAACCGACCGCCGGCTGTGATGAGGACGACAACGACGTGGCTGGCGGCAGAGACGCCACGCCGAGAAAAAGGTGCCGCGAGAATGCAAAAAAAAAACCCTTCACGTATTGGGGCTCCCCAAGTAAGACCCCCCCGCCCCGCCCATCCCAAAAAAAGAAAAAGAAAAAAAACACATTGGTATCAAGTACAACCAAGCAAAAGAAACCTCCCAGCATTAGCTTGGAGGGAAAAGCGACAGCGCTGAAACGACATCCGAGTGCATTGCGCAGGATGCGTGGACATCTCCGCGCTGTGTCTCGTGCTGCCGTGGCCCATCCCCCGTCGTTTGCGTTGAGGACTCGACGTCCTCGAAAAAGTTGCTGCAGAGAAACCCCTCAGAGACTCGTGGCGAGGACGACGATGGGCAGGACAGCATCATCGCCGCAGCCTTCGCACGAGTCTCCGTGGAAACAAACTCCATCAAACTGTCTTCATGGGCAAAGAGCGGGTGAAACAGCGTCGAAGCCGCGGCGTACTGGCACGGTGCCAGCAGTGGAAGCTGCGCCGCAGGCAGGGCGTAGTGGTGAAGGGCGCGGTAGCCGCCCACCAGCATGGCAGCGGGGAGCACCACCGCTTCCATCGCCCCCGTCACACTGGCTCCATTCTCCATTAGCGGCTGCAGCACGGGCACCGAGTTGCTGCCTCGTTGCTGAGCAAAGTAACGGCGCGCGAGCGACAGTTCCGCGGCACCCTGGGAAGCTGCCCCAAACTGTGCTGGGAAACTTGCGGACCGATGCAACAGCAACTCATGGAGCGGCACAAATCGCACGACACGACACCAAGTTCCACGCGTTACATGTGACGAAATCGTCCGCAGCACCACAACCTGTGTGCCTATGGTGAGCACCAGTGGACCACGCTGAGCCATCGCCAACGCAAACAGGCGTCGCTCAAGAAGGTTGGGGGTGGCAGCTGACACGCATTCATCGAGTTCCTCAAAGTGAAAATGAGGCACAAAGCTATGCCCCCTCCCCGCTTCAGACGCAGCTCCAGGTGAGGGGTCGATTTCACGCGTGTCCTGCCGCTTCTTTGAAGAAACATCATGTGTCCAGATGGGAAATAATCGCGCCTCTACGGCGCTTTTTGCAAGGGCATCCTGCAGCGCCCTTGTCGCTGCTTCGCGTGCGTCGGAGCCAGCGTCGTCGCCGACGCATGGGCTGTACCGCAGTCGAATACCAAAGAGGCGACAGCGACGGTCAGACGGATAGGAAACGTAATCGACGTGAAACACATCCACATCCACCACCACAAACGCTTTGGGCCGCTCCGCAGCTGCAGTCAGGTCACGATAAATTAGACAACGCAGGGGAAGCAGGTCCGCGGCCATGGGCGCACAAAAGAGAAGTGTACGCGTCCAGAAACCAACCAGCACAGGAGGCTCAAAGCAAGGGTCATAGCGTTGCTCAAGCCTCATCAACTGCTGCTGCTGCTGATGCTTCATATCATACGAGTGCGCCTGAGAAGGAGGAGGAGGAGCAGTAGTAGTATACATTAACGAAGAAACCGAACCCCTCGTAGTCAGTGCCTGTGATACGCGATGCACTGCCGTAGCTACGACGCACGCTCGCTTAAGCGCATCATGCTCCGCACCCGCGAGCTCCAGAGCAAGTCGTCGGCTCTCCACTACCGTACTATGCCGCCGTAGTGGGAACAAGTGCTTCTTACATCTGTCTTTCATGAAACTGCTTGACCTCGTGTGGGGGGGCTCGCTGTGGGTTTCCATCGCCTCAATAATTAACGGATACTCGTGAAGAAGCTCATGGCGCACACGCATAGCTGCAAAGGTGGGGTAACGAAGCAGCAGCTGCTCGTACGGCAGAAGTCCAAGGTCCCGTCTCTCCAGAGATGCACGCAGAAACGCCTCACATGCCTCTTGTAGTTGAAATAGCGTGTTTTCCTCCTCCAGCGCACGAAGGTCACTGCAGGCGGTACAGTTTTTGTCGTTGGTGTGGTTCGCCGCCCCATTTCCAGTCACTCCCGCGAAAGAGGGGACGGCCACACGACCCATCGCATCGCAGAGCTCCTCGATAAAAAGCGTCCGCTCGGAGGCATTCATGGACTCCTGAAAACGAGGCGACACTCGCCGTAACGCCGCCACAAGCGGTTCCTCAAGAAAAAACATAGAGCCCGCGACCGGGGCAAGGACACGCACGCGAGCGCTCCTCCCCTGAATTTCCGCCACAACGTGTTGGCTACAACCCGCAGGGGCCTCTTCAGAGGACGAGGAATAGCCAAGGAACAAGGCATGAATATTCCCAAAGAGAGGAGCGCCAGCGTCGATCGTCCGCATCGGATCACCGGTGCGAAGCAATATCCCTCGCCTGCCTTGGCCAGTCGCTCGCAAACGGTGCTGCTCCGTATTCCACACCAGACCGTTACGCGTCCACTGCTCCAAGAGACGTGCAATCGCCCGCTTTGACAAAAGATGGGCGTTGCCAATAACAACAAGAGGTATGGCGGGCAAAGCATGCCTCGATGGGTTCATATGCATTCCAAGGTGAAGCAAAGGAATACCTTCCTCCAGTTTAGCAACTCCAAACGAGTCCCAGCGCAACCGGTAAGCTTCCACATCCATGAGGGAGTTGTAATCGATGCAGTGCTCTAGGGGGCAATAGAAAGTTTCATCAAACAAGCGAGCCTCTAGGACTGTGCGCACAGCCGTCTCAAGAAGCGAGGTGTTTGGAGTGTACGTGACGGAAAGATATGCCAGCCGACTGTTTGGCAGCAAAAATGAGGCCACATTTACGGCGGAATGTCGATCAATGAGGTCGCTGGCCTTTTCTTTTGGAGGTGAAACCGCAACAGGCGCCGCGGTTGATTCCACGCCGGCAATGATTTCCATCTGTGAGGCTGTCACTTTTTTTTGCTGCTGCAGCACAGAATGGCGCCAGTGCAAGCATTGACGCAGATAACTCTCGCCGAACTTCATGAAGTCCTCCGTATAGGCTCTACGGTCACTACACGCTGAGCCCCTCTCGTTCGCAGAGGTGTGTGCAAAGGTGCGTCCCCTATTCGCCTCAAGATCATAGAAAGAGAGTGGAATTTGCCGGCACCTCCAAGCACAGTTACCTTCACGAAGAAAGTCACGCACGCGCTGCACCAGAGCCTTGCCGTCCCCCACCGGTGGCGTTTGGAAGAGTGTTCCCAGCGACGCTTGTAGCGAAGGACTCCACGACGCCAGCGGGCGTTCAGGCGTGACTCCCTTCCCGTGAGGCGGCGGCGCCTGGAGCTGCCACACCTCGCACGCCAACCCCTCGAGTTTCTCTGGGCAAACCAAGACGACGCGGCGACCGTGCCGCAGCCTGGTGTCGATCCCAAACCCGGCCGCAACGAGGTGTGACCAGTGTGGTGAACGCAGCGACACAAACTGCTTCGTGAAGGGGCAGTAGATGGAGCCGTAATTGAGCCACGAGAGAAATGTCCCCCGCAGGCGCGCGCGGTGCGAGCGCGCCATCGCGGCTGCACGGCGACGGGAAAAGAGCGAGCCACCGACCATAAACAACTTTGAAAAAACCGACGAGGATGCCTCGTGTTGAGTTGCGGAAGAGCCGGCCTCTTCCGACCCAAGCAAGGCATCAAAGAGCTCCGTGTCGTAACAGTCCTCAAGAGGGTCCTCCCCCACGGGGCCGGGCATCCTCACTCCCTTGTGAGTAAAAGAAAAAATTTCCGCGAGAAGAAACTACCTTGAAGCGCCTGACTAACGCCCACCAGCCACTACCAGGACCCGCTGTCTATTTCTTCAGCCGGGCAACCATCAAATGAAAGGCAAAACAGATCGTAATAGTAGTAGTAGTAGTAGTAGTAGTAGTAGTGATAGGAGGAAACGACACATCAAGGCAACGGTGACGACAAGCGGACAAGAGCGCATCCGTAAGAAGAGAGGAGCCACACATGTAGGTAGATCGTGCTGACTCAAATGAATGGCACGGTCGCGTGACCAACCACAAGTCAGACATCCCCGACAATTTTTTTTCTAGAATGCACTTCACTGAAAAAACTCGCATCCCTCCATTCTTCCTCTTTCCTTCCCCCTCCGCACCTGCAGCCCTGCGCGTCCACAAAATTTTGTTGCCCGCAGTTTTTTTTGTTGTTGTTTTTCCCCCCGATTTTCTCTTAGGCTTTTATCGGCGCATGTTTATATGTCAGGCGTTTTTTTTTCATTGTTTTTCTCTCACGCAAGCAAATTCCGCCATGTACCCACTTTGGCGGCATAAATTCGAGCCCAGTGGAAAACGTTACTTCTTTCGTCTTCTTTTTCACATATTTCTGTACTTCGCCTCGCATCAATCCAACTTCTCCTCCTCTGGAGACACAGCCTGGGGAGCCAGAGGATATGGCTGCTGCTGCTGCTGCTGCATCATTTGCATCATCATCCCCATGAGCATCTGTGCCTGATCGGGCGTTGCAACGGCGCTCGTGGCTGTCATGGGGCACGTTGTTTGTTGGGGCGCAGCGTTCGCTTTTCCCCACTCTTCCCCAGACGACGCCACGGCGCTGTCTCGAAGGGAGGGCTGCACCACGTCACTGCTGCCTTGCTTCCCTGCTCGCCCCTCGTACTGTGAGCGGATCACCTCGTGGTACATTTGCTGCAGCTGCTGCCGTTGCTCCTTATTCCGTGGGTCGGCAGCAGCAGTTCTCTTGACGGGGCGCAAGAGGGCGGGAAGTATTGTGTCGATACACTTCTGTGCGCCGCTAATTTTGCCGTCTTTTTCCGCCTTCTCAATTTCTGGAAATTTTTCAAGGTCAAATTTCTCCAAGAAGGCGCGGTATTCCTCAACAGGGGGAAAGTCCTTCCAGTTCATCTTGTACTTGGCCGCCATGATCTCGTACGTCCTTTGCAGGTTGTCCAGAGCCTTGCTCTTTGCCTTCTCCTTCCCAAAGAGCCGCGGCAGCTCTGACCGCATTCCACCAACGATCAGCGCATGCACCAGCACCGCCTTTGCCCGACGTATGAGGTTCGCCACCTTCCTGTCACGCGACTGCTGCGGCACCACTTCCATGATCTCGTGCAAAAGATCGGTCTTTTCCTCCGTGAAGAGGAGCGTGAAGGTCCCTTCCCTGTATGGCTGGTCCCAAAAGCTACCAACGTACACGCGCGGTGGCTCGGTGCAGTTAATGAGGTTTGACAAGTTCCAAAAAAGGCTGCCGTAGACCCGCATCAATTCCTGGGTGTTGACGCTGTCGGCCTTGTTGAGGACAAGCCTCACCTTGCCCTCCAACCCCTTGAACGCGTGCTTAAACATCATGCGAAGCTCGACGCCAGCGTCCATTTTGGTGGGGTCAAAGATAACAAAAATAAGGTCACTGCGCTCCGCAAACCAGCGGCTCACCTTCACGTAGTCAAACTGGCGTTCTCGAATTTCCTTCACACTCTCCAGCACACCCGGCGTATCAATTAATGTGACACGCTTTAGCAGCTCATGCGGGACCTGGTACCCCTGGAACTTCTCCAAAAATGACTCCCCGAACTCTGTTAGTCCCTTAAAGGGGAGATTCTTGGCGTTCGCAAGCACGTGCCCATTCACAGGACCTACTTCTTCACCGTAAACGACAACGGTGAACTCGGCGGTTGTCGGCTGTGGTCCCGTCCAGAGATAGTTGTCCTGCAGCAGATGGTTTATAAACGTGCTCTTTCCGGAGGACCACGGACCGAAGAAGGCCACAAAAGGCTTTTGATTGAGGATTGTCTCCTCAAACCAGCTAGGACGAAATAGGTCGTATTTGTACATCTCTTCTAGAGGCTTCACGTACTTCAGGTAGTTGTCATGCAGCACCTTCACAAGTTCATCAAGGCTGCTGGGTGGCATTCCCCGTGTTTCGGTGGAGGTCTTCACGGCCGTGGCATCGGTGCCCGCGGATGACATCCGAATTGTACGCCGCAGCCTCCGCGCCCGCTTTATGAAACACGACGCGTGAAAGTACGAGGGCCTCACGCAGATTCCGTCAGTCTGCCTGCGTGGGTGCCGGCCGCGGCTGCAAATAACCAGCTGGACACAAAAGAAATACACCCTAAGAGCCGCAGCAAAGCAAAGTAAAGCGAAGGCAAAAAAAAAAAGAAGAGAGAGAGGATGGCAATGAACCTCAAGGCAAAGGCACATAAACCGCCCGCAACGCAAAAGAAAAAAAAGGAAAATGCAAGAA